TGTTTTCTTTTCCCCTTCTTTTTTAATGGTGGTTGAATATATATGTGAAAAATATTATCATTGCCCTGGCTGGTGTGGCTCAGTGGACCGAGGGCCGGCCTGCAGACCCAAAGTTTGTGCATTTGATTCCAGATCAGGGCACAGGCCTGGGTTTGCAGGGCCCAGTCCCCAGTTGGTGGCACATGAGAGGCAACTGATCCATGTTTCTCTCTCACATCAGTGTTTCTCCCCCTCTCTGTCCCTCTCCACCTCTCTAAAAATAAATAAAATATTTTTAAAAATATTCTCATTAAAGTGTACAATTTGGCATTAATTACATTCACAATGTTTTACAACCATCACCACTATTTCCAAAACTTTTTTACCAGTCCACGTAGAAACTCTAACCCTTAAGCAATAACTTCCTTTTCTCCTCCCCTGTCTCTTCTCCCTATACTTTCCGTTTCTACAAATCGACAGCTCTGGGTACCTCATCTAAGTGAATTCATACAGTATTTGTCCTTTCATCATTTTATTTAACATGTTTCAAGGTTCGTCCATGTTGTAGCATGTGTCAGAAATTTTTATTGGTGAATATAGTCCATTATGTGGACATGGTGCTTCTTGTCTATCAGGCGATGAACATTTAGGTTGTTTCCACCTTTTGGCTACTGTGAATAATGCTACAGTGACCACTGGCTTCCAAGTGTGTGTTGAGTACTTGTTTATCATTCTCTTTATAATACCTAGGAGTAGACTTGGTGAGTCATACGGTAATTCTATCTGTAGCTTTTTGAGGAAGTGCTAAACTGTTGCCCACGGTGGTCACACCATGTTGCATTCCCACCAGCAATGCACGAAGGTTCCAGTGTCTCCACTGGATGCTTTTCTTTTTAAATATTTATTATAGCCCTTCTAGTAGGTGTGAGGTAATCTTATTTTGGTTCTCATTTGCATTTCCTTATTTCTAATGTCAAGAATCTTTTCACTTCCTTATTGGCTATTTTTATGTCTCCTTTGGAGGAAAGTTTGTTCGTCTTTTTTTTCCCTTTTCCTCCCCCCTCCCCAGTCTTTTTTGAATTGGGTTGTTTGTCTCATATAGTTGGAGGATTTGATATATTTTAGATATTAATTCCTTGCAAAATATGTGATTTTAAATAGTTTCTCCCATTCTTTGCACTTTATTTGTACTATTCCTTGATGAACTAAAATTGTAAACTTTAATGAAGTCCATTCTACTGATGTTTGTTATTTTTGCTCATGTCATATCTAATAATCCATTGCCAAATCAGAGATCATGAAGATTTACCCCTATGTTTCGTCTGGGGGTTTTATGTTTTAGCTTTTACACTTAGGTTGTTTATCCACTTTGAGTTCATTTTTTAGTGTGGTATGTGGTAGGGGCCGAACTTTGTGTTTTTGCATGTGGAACTCCAGCTGTCCCAGCATCATCTGTTGATAGGCGATTCTTTCCCCACTGGATGGACTTGGCACCCTTTTTAAACATCCCTGGACTATATACATTGGGTTCATTTCTGGACTCTCAGTTCTGTTCCATTGATCTGTATGCTCTCTGCCAGTACCATCGTGTTCTGAGTACTGTAGCTTGGTAGTAAGTTTTGAAATACAGAAGTGACTTTTCCAACTTTGTTATTTTTCAAGATTGTTTTGGTTATATGAACCCCCTCAACAAATTCATATAATTTTAAGGTTTGGCTTTACACTTGGCAAAAAAGGCTGTAGCAGTTTTGATGGGGATTGTGTTGAATCTGTAGATCTCTTTGGGTAGCATTTACATCTTAACAATATTGTCTTCCAGACTGTGAACATGGGATGTTTTTCCACTTGTTTATGTCTTCTTTAATTTCTTTCAGCTGTTTTGTAGTTTTTGGTATACAAGTCTTTTACCTTGGTTAAATTATCCCTAGGTATTTTATTTGTAAATTGAATTACTCTCTTAATTTCCTTTTTCGATTGTTCATTACTGCTGTATTGATTGTTGTGCATTGATCTTGTGTCCTGCAGCTTAACTGAATGCATTTATTAACTCTAGTAACTTTCTTTTGGATTCTTTGGGATTTTCCATACGTAGGATCATGTAAAGTGATTAAAGATAGTTTTTCTTCCTTCCCTGTTTGTGTGTCTTCTGTTTTTCTTGCCAAATCGCTCTGGCTAGAACTTCCAGTACTGTGTTCTGTAGAAGTGCTGAGAGTGGACGCTCTTGTCTTCTTCCTGATCTTAGAAACTTTTCAGACTTTTACCATTGAGTATGTTTGCTGTGGGATTTTCATAGATATTCTTCACCATGTTGAGAACGTTCCTTTCTAGTCCTCTTTTTTTAGTGTTTTTGAGATGAAAGGATGTAGGATATTGTGTCTGTTTTCCATCAGGTTTTTTTCCCCTTCAGTTCTATTACTGTGGTGTATTGCATTGAGTGACTTTCTTATCTTGAACTATCCTTGCATTCATGGGGCAAATCCCACTTGGTCATGATGTATAATCATCGAAATATGCAAATTTGGTTTACTAGTACTGTTGAGTTTTGTGTCTACGTTTATAAGAGGTGTTGATCTAATTTTCTTGTGACTTTGGCTTTAGTATCATTGCAATGATGGCCTCACAGGATGGGTTAGGAGGTGTTCTCTTCAATCTGTTGGTAGAGCTTAAGTAGGTGTTAACTTTTCTTTAAATGTTTACTAGAATTCACCAGGGAAGCCATCCATTCCATACCAATTTTGGTTCTTACTATGTTTAGGTAATTTGTGTGTTTCTAGGAATTTATCCATTTCATCTAAGTTATCTTAATTGTGGATGGACAATTGTTCATAGTATTCTTAGGTTTTTTATTACTGTAAGGTCAGTAGTAATGTCTCTACTTTCGTTTCTGATTTTAGAGATGTCTTTTTATACTGTCAGTCTAGCTAAGTGTTTGTCAATTTTGTCAACTTTCTCAGAGAACCACATTTACTTTCATTGACTTGTTTTTTCATTGTTTTATCTCTAATTTTTATTTGTTCCTTCTAGCTTTGGGTTGTTTGCTTATTTTTTTAATTTTCTCAAAATGCAAAGTCAGGTTATTGATTTGATATCCTTTTTTAAATAAAAATTTTATTTATTTTTAGAGGGAGGAAGGGAGAAAGAAAGGGAGAGAAGCATCCACGTGTGGTTGCCTCTCACGTGCCCCCCACTGGGAACCTGGGCCAAAACCCAGGGTTGTGCCCTAACTGGGAATCAAATCAGTGACCCTGTGGTTCTCAGACCGGTGCTCAGCCCACTGAACCACACCAGCCAGGGTTGATATCTTCTTTTTTATTGTAGACATTTATTGCTATAAATTCTCCTGTAACCACTGCCTTCACTGCATTCCATGGCTTTTGCTCAATGGGCTTTATCATCAAAGTATACATTCTTCATTCATGGAACAAATGTTCATACCAGCTTGGTTCTAGGAGATGCAAAGGTGAATACAAGACAGGCAGGATCTGCATAGTGATGGAGCTGCCATTTAGGGTAAAGCAAGACAGCGAGTGATGGTTTCAAATCCATAGAACAGGGTACTGTGATAAAGAATAGCAGTAACACTGCTTTGGTGTTTAAATTTTATTTTAAATAGGTAATATATACATGTGGCTCAAAAATAAAAAATATATTAAAAAGTCTAGTGTGCAAAGTCTCCCTTGCTCCTCTGCGACCTCCTACCTGGTTATCTGCTGGCCTGGCAGACCCTCCTGAGGCAAGGTTTCTTTTAGAGAGGAAGGTGGGGGGCGGTGGGCAGAAAAAGGGAGAAAACATGGATTGGTTGCCTCCGGGATGCACCCTGACCAGGGATCAGGGAATCATACCAGCCTTTCGGTTATGGGACGACGCTCCAACCAACTGAACCACACCAGCCAGGGTGCACCTTGCTTTTACTTAGTGTTTTACCCTGGAAGTCTTCCGCTGTCAGTTCATAGTGTCTTCACTTTTTTTCCAGTTGCATAATTACGTGAAGCGGTTTGGGTGGTGATAGTTGATCCTTCCACCACTATTGGCTGTGGCAGCTCTTCTAATGGAAGCGTTCCAAGGGGCATCATTCCAACGACTGAAAATGGAAGCCCTAAGGCCCAGGCCCCAGAGCCACATAGGGCCAGTCCGGGTGCGGTGGAGGGAGACATGCCCCCGCCCACCGCCACGTCCCTGGGAAGAGCACGTGGATGGGGGAGGGAGGCGTTGTTGGTACTAGACTCTGCAGCCTCCCTACCCGCCAAGGCCCGATCAAGGTCACATGTCTTATTTGGGATTATGCACAGGCAGCCTCTCAAACTAGTCTATTTCCCCCACTTGCCTCTCTCCTCCACTTCAGTTTTTGAAAGGCTGAATCCAGTTGTCCTGCAGCCTGGATTTGCTTTATTGTCTCCTCATGACGTCCTCTGACTTCTTAACTTCCTATAAACTACAAGGTGGGACGAAATACTTGAATCAGAGTAAACAATACTTACGAAAGTATATTGTACCCACTGGTACCCTTACGTTTTCCACTGATCATCTTTTGCCAGGACAGGATCATTTAAAAATGTAAGCTCAAGTCACTTCTCAAACAAAATCCCCTAAGGGGTTCTCACTTTTCCCAAAGGCCTTAAGTGGTCTAACGGGCCTACCTGACCCTCCCTCCGCCCGGCTCCATTCCAGCCCTCACGGCAAAACAGACCCACGCCCGGAGCTCGGGCGGACGGACCCTGAGGCTGGGGCGGGGGGCGGGGAACAGAGGCGTCTCGGCGCATGCGTACTCTGCGCGCGTTGCGTCGCGCCTACTAGGAGCCGGGCGCAGACGCGCGCATGTGCGCTGGGAAGAAGGTGTGCGCCGGCTGTGCTACGTCCCTGAGGAGCGTGAGGGTCCCTCCCCAACGCCGTTTCAGACGTTCTGCGCATGCGCACCCTCCTGTTTGCCGTGCTTCTCGGCCTAAAGTGGGCGGAGCGGGCATCTGCGCACGCGTACTCTGAGTCCGGCCGAGCTGCGTCTCCTGGGGGCAGTGCGCAGGCGGGCGCAGGCGCGGTGGACGGAGGGCGGGCGATGGCAGGGGTCGATTCACCACGGCGGCTCGCGATGAGGCGGCTGGCGTTGCTGGTGCTCGCGCTGTGTGCGGTGGGCGTCCGGGGGCTGTACTTCCACATCGGCGAGACTGAGAAGCGCTGCTTTATCGAGGAAATCCCCGACGAGACCATGGTCATCGGTCAGGCGGGGTGGGGGTGGCCTGGGCTCTGAGTGTCCCCAAGACGCGGCCGCGGCGCCCCGCGGAGTGCGCGAGCCCGGCGGACGAGGCGCGTGACGCCGGCTCTGTCACTCCGCAGGAAACTACCGCACCCAGATGTGGGATAAGCAGAAGGAGGTCTTCCTGCCCTCGACCCCCGGCCTGGGCATGCACGTGGAGGTGAAGGACCCCGAAGGCAAGGTAGGGCCACCGCTGTCCGTCCGCAGGCTGTGGCGCGGGCGCCGTCCTCCAGAGCCCCCTGGGGCGTGCGGAGCTCGGGAACGGCAGCCGTCCCTGGAGAGGCCCTTGCAGGTGGCGCTCCCACTGACTTCCGTGTTGCAGGTGGTGCTCTCCCGGCAGTACGGCTCCGAGGGGCGCTTCACCTTCACTTCCCACACCCCTGGTGACCACCAGATCTGCCTGCACTCCAACTCCACCAGGATGACGCTCTTCGCTGGCGGCCGACTGGTGAGAGAATGTTCTTTGGCTACAGCTTGGGATCTCTCACTTGGTTCCAAAGTTCTGATTTACCACCATCGGTATTTGTGACACTTGGTGGCGTAGTCACAAGTGGGGAAACGGGGCCCTTCTGTCCCACGGCCAGGGGCAAGAGGGGGTTCCGTAGTCTGGAAAGAGCCGTTGAAAGCTCCGCTCAGAAACGGTAACCTCAGTGTTGCTGACCCTCTGCCTTTGGGGCTCCCGCCCCGTGTCCTTGTAGCGTGTGCACCTAGACATCCAGGTTGGGGAGCATGCCAACAACTACCCGGAGATCGCGGCCAAGGACAAGCTGACAGAGCTGCAGCTCCGAGCCCGCCAGCTGCTCGATCAGGTGGAGCAGATCCAGAAGGAGCAGGACTACCAGCGGGTAAGGCGCGTGGCTGTCGGGGGACCCCGCGTTGAGGCTTACACCTGCCACACCCACTGGAGTTGCCACTCGCCCGGGCCTCCCACGTGAGCTGCTCAGAGAGCGAAACAGAGGGCATTGGTCTAGAGCAGCGATTCATTCCCTCTCTCTCTGCCTTTCCTCCCTCAGATTTTATTTTTTAGGGACAAGGCGAGAAACATTGATCATTTGCCTCTCGCCCACCCCCAACTGGGGGCCTGGCCCCAAACCTCAGCATGAGCCCCGACTGGAGTCGAACCCCAGCAGGTCTGTACTCGGCCTGCTGAGCCGTACCAGCCAGGGCTAGAGAAGCAGTTTTTCAACCTTTTTCATCTCATGGCACACAGAAGCTAGTTTCTAAATTCTGACGCACACCAAAAAATACAGCACAGTGTATTATTTAGAGATCTGACCCAAAAAGGGTAGTTTTGATTCATTCATACCAGGGGGCTATTGTGGTGGTTGTTGTCCTTACTTGACAGGCTAAGGAAAAGCAGGTCACTATTCCTGACTAAAGAGTCAAGTGTTGCATATTTTAAAAATTCAGGTGAGCCCTGACTGGTGTAGCTCAGTGGGTTGGGCATTGTCCCGCAACTAGAGCAGTCGCAGGTTTGATCCCCAGTCAGGGCACCTGCCTGGGGTGCAGACCAGGTCCCCAGTTGGGGGCAGGCAAGAGGCAGCCGCACATTGATGTTTCTCTCCCTCTCTTTCTCCTCTCCGTCCCATCTCCCTAAAAATAAGTAAAATCTAAGGAAATAAAAATTCTGGCGGCACACCGGTGGAGAATTGCTTGTCTAGAGAGTTCTTTTTAACCTCTGTAAAGTGACAGTGCAGGCGACTCCTGTTTGCTTTGGGATCTTGCTCAAAATGGTAGGAGTGCAGTTCCCATCCCAGCGGAGAGGCTGCTGCACAGCCCTTCCCACGAGCACTCCCGGTGCAGTCGCAGCGCAGAAGGCCCGCGGTCCCCCGGCGGGTCATCCCGTGGGAGGGAAGCCCTCGCGGCCGCCAGGGCCGGGCTGGGCCGCACGGCTAACCCCGGGTTTGTCGTCCCGTGCAGTACCGTGAGGAGCGCTTCCGTCTGACCAGCGAGAGCACCAACCAGAGGGTCCTGTGGTGGTCCATCGCTCAGACCGCCATCCTCATCCTCACGGGCGTCTGGCAGATGCGCCACCTCAAGAGCTTCTTCGAGGCCAAGAAGCTGGTGTAGTGTCCTGTCCGTATGACCCTTCCCTCTCACCCTGGTTATTTGGTACTTAACATACCTGGCTTGTGAGGGGGAATATGAAAAAGACATAAACCACATTGGTTCCCTGGCAACAAAACTTCCCAATCAGCCACTCGTTAACACTGGTTCTCAAGGACATAGGACTGCGGTCCGAGATTTCAAAAACACCCTGGGGTTTGCGCACAGTCCGAAGTGACCCGGAAGTAAGTCTTGCTTCTTTGGCCTCCAGTGATTCCCCCTCCATCCTGTCACAAAATGAGCAACGACAGGTCTGTCCTGGAACCTGTCCTCGTCTGCTCGTGCAGTAGCAGGGGAAGTGCCCTCCCGAGGAGGCCTGCCCCTGCTCCCGTCCGTCCCGGTTCACTCGGTGGCCCCGTGAATGTAAATAAGTGGCCAAGGCCCTAGAGGATTGAAATGTTTTTCTATATATTAGAACTATTTTTTGATAAATTATATATTTTCCTTCCTAGTTGAAGTGTTACTGCCTGTGTGTGACTAGCTGAAAACACCAATGCAGCTCCGCCTGCATTCTGTTTACCCACGTTTTTGGTAACTACTGTGGCAGCTCTCAGATCTCAGCGGCCCGTGGGCTGGAAAGCGGACGTCCCAGCTGCTGTCCAGGCCCTACCCGAGGGCCAAGTAGAGACCCCTCCGAGGCACCCGAGGGACGCGTCAGTCGGGGCCCGGGAAGAGCGCGAGGTTGAGCGCACGCACAGGCAGGGCGCTCCTCCCCTCCCCCTTCCTTTGACCTTGATTTAAGCTGTGGTGGTGGTTTCATGGAACCAGAGTTGGTTCTTACACAGATTTTTCCAGTGAAATAAAACGTGTTGCACTAGCTGAGTTTGGAATGAAATGAGACATGGGCCAAGGGGAGGCTGCTGGCCTGGACTTCCTCTGCGGAGTGGGCCGCGGCGGTGGGCTCGGGGCGCTGCGGCCCGGCCGCGGCCGCGGCACATGGGCGCACGAGTGGTTGCTTAGCCACTCAGGCGGGTTGGGGGGGGGTTAAGTCCCAGGATCGTAAGTTTAAGCAGATCTTACCGCACTCCCCTCATGCCAAGGGCACTGGAAAACAATGCCATTAGTTGCGTGTTCTTTTTATTTCATGGGTGTTTTTTTTTTTAATTTTTAGGATTTTATTTTTAGAGGGGAAGGGAGGGAGAAAAACATCAATGTGTGGTTGCCTCTTCATGAGCCCCCTTCTAGGGATCTGGCCTGCAACCCAGGCCTGCTGCCCTGACTGGGAATCAAACTGGCAACCCTGCTGTTTCATAGTCTAGTGCTCACTTCACTGAGCCACACCAGCCAGGGCTCATGGTTTTATTTGACCTACAGAATTAAATGTGTTTCTTTTTATGTCATATACCATTCTATACACACACACACACACACACACACACACACACATTTTATTTGAAAAATATATGCAATTTAGATCTATAAGCACTGTCATTCAATATTTTTGAACTTCTACGTTCCACCTTGTAAATTCTGGATGCCATGTTAGCCCAGTGAGGGGAAGTGCCGTAACTGACATACCCAACATTTTTTGGATGTTTAATTAAAAAAAAATAAGATCTTTTAAAATAGACTATTTTTAGAGAGTGGAGGGAGAGAAGCATTGATCAGTCGCCGTTCATACGTGCCCCCACCAGGGACTGAACCTGAAACCCAGGCACATGCCCTGACCGGGGGATTGAACAGCTGACACACCGCTTTGTGGGATGGCGCCTAACCCACTGAGCCGCACCAGTCAGGAGGATAGGTAAAACGGTTTCCAGCTTGCTTTGTGTTGCAGTAGCCAGGGAAGATCGGAACGAGCTGGCAGTGGGGGCCACTGGCCTGAGGCTCCGGAGGAGCATGAGACACGTCGGGAAGGTGACACGTAGGTGTCTGCTCTGACTGTTACTAGGGGTCCAGCAGTAAAGCGGAGACCGGAGTCCGGGCTGAGGGAGGACAGGAACCTACAGGCAAGAGCTGAGGCTGAATGCAACCGTCCGCCGGCCGGCGGTAGACACGACTGCATCTTATGGGTCGGTGTGTCAGTGGGTGGCAGGAAGGGGAGGGGAGCGAGGACGGACCTGGGAGTGCGTGGCGCTCTCCATGGGGCAGGTGGGAGCACTTCCACACTGCTCGCTGCTCTTCAGATACGTTCCGGCCTGAAAGTTCTTTTCAGACAGTTTGGCTACATCCATGGAATTGTTAGTGTCCCCACCCACCCCCATATTACCCTGATTTCCTTTGTGCATTTGTTTCTTAGACCACGCAACGTCCTTACCAAAAGGCCTTTTAATCTCTTTACCACAAAAAAGAATTAAGAAGGGGTGGGGGGGCCTTTGTGGTGCCCTGTCATCCAGGCTGGGTCCCGGGCTGTCACCGGCACTGCAGGCCCCATGTCCATCTTTGGTCCCGGTGTCACTTGACCTGTGGTGCAGGAGCGGCTCTCCGCTCGCCCTCACCTTTGGCAGCTGTGGGGGGCCCACGTCAGAGTGGACGCTAAGGGCGTCCGGGAAACCCCACACAGATTCCTAAGCAACGCCCAGGCCCAGGCTGATGAAGCAGGTTCATGTGGTAGCAGGAGGGTGGCCCTCGAACGATGCCCGTGTCCTGATCCCGGGAACCTGTCACTGTCACCTAACCAGGCAGAGGGGAGTTCAGGCCCCCGATCGCTTATTGTAAAGGGCAGCGCATCCTGGGTTATTTGGGTGCGCCCACTGTCCTCACGAGTTTCCTGAAAAGTCGGAGGAAGGAGGCAGAGACGGGGCACAGTGACGCGATGGGAGGACGCAGCCACCGTTGCTGGCTCTGAAGGCGGACGGAGGACGGGGGCCGCCAGCCACGCTGGGAAGGGCAAGACAGGGGTTGTCCCTCTAGAGCCTCCCAAAGGGAACACAGCCCTGCCAACAGCTTGATTTCAAACCCTTGTCAGCCTTCGGACCTATCGAACCATAAACACTGGTAATAAGTTTACACTATTTTAAGCCACTAAGCTTACGGTAATTTTTACAGCAGCAACAACAAACTAACACAAGTAGAAACCAAGAGTCCTCATTTTCTTTTAATCCTCACCTGAGGATGTTTGTTTATTGATTTTTAGAGAGAGGAAAGGGGAGGGAGAAACATCGATGTGACAGAAACATGGACGGGTTGCCTCCCGCACACGCTCAGGGCGCCCCGGGATCAAACCCACCACCCTTTGGTGGAGGGGAGGCCGCTCCAACCAACTGAGCCACCCAGCCGGCAAGAATCCCCATTTTAACCAAGCTGTCCAGGTAGCTGATGGGCAGCCAGGTTAGGGAACTGCAGACAGACCTACCCTCCTTTTTGTCTCACGCTCCTGATTCTTCCAACCCTCGTCCTGGCACAGTCCAATTGCTGTGGCCTTTCCTCGGACCGTCTGTGGCCCTGAGTCTCAGGCAGCCTCTCGGTGGCCTCTACCACATACTGCTACACCCACTGTCACTTGCGTTCTACTCACAAAGCTGTTGTCCCTGCTCACGTTCCTGTGTCGCCACCACAGCCACAGGCCCTGGAACATTCTGCCGAGAACTCCTGAGCGCAGCAGGTGGAGCAGCCAGCGCTCACACGGACCCGGACAGCGGCCCGGCAGCAGGGCAGGAGCGGGTGCTCCCAAGAAGCTACCTAGGGCCGGAGTCCTGTTCTTAGCAAGCCACGGTCAGCGGGACCCAAAGCCTAGACGCGCTAACGAAGTTAAAGTCATAGCCTGCAAGCGTGTACTTGCGAGCTGTCCGCCCCGCGGGGCAGCGAAGCCGAGCACACAGGGACCACACGCACGTCCACGCAGCCCCGCCCCCGCCGCGGGAAACGCCGGCCCAGCAGGCGTTAGGAGGCGGCGTCAGAGGGCGAGAGGGGAGCCGCGGGGCTCCCAGGCCACACCCGCCACCCCCCGGTACCCCCCGGTACCCCGCCGCCTCTGCCCGGAATCCCGGTCTTCGCGCGCCGCCGCCGCGGTCGCTGCGCTCCGCCGGAACACCGGAAGCCGGCGCCGCAATACTTCCGGGAATGATGGCTTCTCCGACGCCCATTGGCTGTTGCTTTGACCCGCCCAGGCGGCGCACGCTTTTCCTGCTGCGCGTGCGCGCTGTCACTACAGCGCTTCAGCATGGCGGACTCCGAGGAGCTGGGCTTTGAACACATGGGCCTTGACCCTCGGCTGCTGCAGGTACTCGGGGGGCTAAGGAGCCAGGCCGCTGTGGCGGGCGGCGGCGGGGACGCGGCGGGCTGAGAAGCCCGGCCGGCCTGGCTGGGGGCGGCGGCAGAGCTGCGCGCCGCCTGAGCCGCCCCTCGTCTCTCCTAGGCCGTCACCGATCTGGGCTGGTCCCGGCCCACGCTGATCCAGGAAAAGGCCATCCCGCTGGCCCTGGAAGGGAAGGACCTCCTGGCTCGGGCGCGCACTGGCTCTGGGAAGACGGCTGCTTATGCCATTCCGATGCTGCAGCATCTGCTCCAGAGGAAGGAGGTGGGTCGCGGGCAGGGAGATGGAGACGTCTGGGCGCTCGCGTGCCCTCGGGGAAAGGGTGTGGTTGTCATCGGTTTTTCCCGAGAACCAGGCTTTCTTGTGGCCTCTTACCGGTGAGGATGGCCCGAGAGAGCCTGGTGCTGTCGTGGCACACGTTCTGGGCTGGACTGCAGGTCCCCTGGGTCCTCGTCTGGGCGCTGCTCCCGCTACTCTGATCTTGAGTGAATCTCTTTCCTTTCCGCTGTAAAAACTGGGTAGCCTCCCCGCCCCCGCCTCAGCTAATAGGCTGTGGTGAAAGGGCAGCTGCGGGATTGGTGGATGTTGAGTAACTTGAAAGCAATGAAGTAACTCAGCCTTTGAGGGTCAGTGCCTGGGAAAGAGCTCTCTTGTTCCCATCCTGAGGTGCGAAGAAGCAAGCACCGAGTTGGGGCAGAGTCCCTGCAGTGGGGTCAGGTTGCCTGGAAGGGACCCAGGAAGCGCCAGGTAGCCACACTGACACGAACGGACTGTCTGAAGTCTTTGGTCCCTTGCAGACCGGCCCCGCGGTGGAGCAGGCTGTGCGCGGTCTGGTCCTCGTGCCGACCAAGGATCTGGCCCGGCAGGCCCAGTCCATGATTCAGCAGCTGGCCACCTACTGTGCCCGGGACATCCGCGTGGCCAATGTCTCAGCCGCGGAAGACTCAGCCTCTCAGAGGTGGGAGAAAGCACCAGGGCTGTGGGGGGTTGGGTTTGTGTGCAGCCAGAAAGGGGGCTGGTCCCGGGCGAGGTCCCAGCCGCAGCCTCTCTCCCCCCCGACGCTGCCGTGTTGCCCGACTGCAGAGCTGTGCTGATGGAGAAGCCTGACGTGGTGGTGGGGACCCCCTCTCGCATATTGAACCATGTGCAGCAAGACAACTTGAAGCTGCGGGACTCCCTGGAGCTGCTGGTGATGGATGAGGCTGACCTTCTCTTCTCTTTTGGCTTCGAGGAGGAGGTCAAGAGTCTCCTCTGGTGAGGGAGAGGCAGGTGGGGGCTGCGAGCCGACACCAGGGCTTGGGGCAGGTGGGCGGGAGCCGCCGCAGTCAGAGGCCCTCGGAGCTGGAGTCTGACGGAGCCTGTTTTGTTGTAGTCACTTGCCCCGGATTTATCAGGCTTTTCTGATGTCAGCGACTTTTAATGAAGACGTTCAAACGCTCAAGGAGCTGGTACTACACAACCCGGTGAGTGCTTTGTGCACGTGTCGGGAGCAGCTCACAGGTGACTCTAAGGACTCCATCCTTGCTGCTCAGAGGAGCCTTTTGGTGTTTTGTTGGGGGACAGTTGTGACTGCTTTAGCCTCATGGTTTTGAAGCAGTAGGAGCCATTAGTCATCACACTCCCCTCCCTTTAAATCTAAAGTCACTGCTGTCCAGAGGTCCCCCCGGGGCTCACACTTCGCCTGGAGGCCTGAGCAGAGACCCCAAGGGGCAGGAAGGCTGCCTTTAGCAGCGAGGGGAGAGTTTTCTACCTCGTGACTTCTGCTTTTCAGAACTATTACTGCTGTAGGATGTCCCTGCTCACTGCAGTTGTTTGTCTGCGTTTCTCTGTGTTCTGTTCACCAAATGTCTTGCGTGTAATTTTATGTTCTTCATACCCTATGATAACCGGGGTCTTCGGACCCCTTACGCCAGCTGGCGGGGGCCCACGGTGCCTTGAACGAGCGCCTCTGTGCCGTGGTCAGCTTGCGACGGCGTCTCTGTCTCCTTTCCTGACCATAGGCCTGTCCCCCCAGGTTACTCTCAAACTGCAAGAGTCCCAGCTGCCAGGGCCAGAGCAGCTACAGCAGTTTCGGGTGACCTGCGACACTGAGGAAGACAAGTTTCTGCTGCTCTATGCCCTGCTCAAGCTGTCGTTGATCCGGGGCAAGTCCCTGCTCTTCGTCAACACCCTGGAGCGGAGTTACCGGCTGCGCCTCTTCCTGGAGCAGCTCAGCATCCCCGCCTGCGTGCTCAACGGGGAGCTCCCCCTGCGCTCCAGGTGCTGCGGCTGGCGCCTCGGCTGGAGGCCCTGGCGATGGGGGTTGGCAAGGGGAGACGCAGCTGATGCTCCTGTTCGTTAAGTGCTTAGAGGCCAGGCTTGGGCTCCCTGACAGTCGTGACTTGATCGCGAACTCTGAGAGGCTCGCTGTCGCTCTGTCTTCAGCTGAGGCGCTGAGTCACGGAGGTCACGTGGGGGAGTTTTAGAAGAGGGAAAGCCGGAGGACAGCGGTCGCGGCGGGGCCGGGGCGGATGAGCCGCCTCCAGCCTGCCCTTGGGGTTGCCCCCCCCCCCTCGGCCCATAGGTGCCACATTATCTCGCAGTTCAACCAAGGCTTCTACGACTGCGTCATAGCAACGGATGCCGAGGTCCTGGGGACCCCAGCGCAAGGCAGGCGTCGGGGCAAAGGACCCAAGGGGGAGAGGTGAGTCCGTGTCTCTGTCCTCCCAGACCTCCCCAGGGAGATGAACCAGGGTGCTGGAGCAGGGAGCCAGGCCTTGCTGCTGGCAGGGCTCCCAGAGCCCGTGCCTGGAGGGGGCCTGGAGGAAGCACATGGCCCCTGGCGGCAGGAGGGGCCCGGCCGCCGGGGTGGTTGGTGCGCTGCCTGGCGCGGGAGACGACGGCCCAGCCTGCTTGGATGCAGTTGTGGCTTGTGGGGAGGGTGTTTCTGAGGGGCAAAGGGAGCCCTCAGTCTGCGTGATGGGGCTCTCGGATCAGCCCCCGGGGCAGTCAGTTCCGCTCTGGCCCCAGAGCCCGGGTCGGGGCTGCGGCGTGGCCGCCCGCTGCACGGCTCCTGGAACGGTGCTGGGGGTCGCGTCTCACGCTCTCAGGGCCCCCGGCTCTGTGCAGGCTTTGCTGGGAGCCTGGACTGGACCAGCGTGAGAAGAGCAGCCGGGGAGCGCAGGGTGAGTCCGCTGCGGGTGTTTCCTACAGGGCCTCGGACCCAGAGGCAGGCGTGGCCCGCGGCATAGACTTCCACCACGTGTCTGCCGTCCTCAACTTCGACCTGCCCCCCAACCCCGAGGCTTACGTCCATCGAGCGGGCAGGTAGGGGGGCCGGGCTTGCAGGCCAGGCCTGGCACTGTGGGCGCCCCAGGCCTCAGGCCGGAAGCACCAGCTGGGCCGTCTCCTCTTGCAGGACGGCGCGGGCCAACAACCCAGGGGTAGTCCTGACCTTCGTGCTACCGGCAGAGCAGTCCCACCTGAGCAAGATCGAGGAGCTTCTCGGAGGAGGTAGGCGCTGGGGCCAGGCTTCGCCCAGGACGCCTCGGACCCAGGCACAGCGATGGAGCCGGGACACTGGTGTGCCGCCGCCGGCCACCCACCCGACTTGCTCGCCCCACGCCCTGCTCTATCCTCGTCCTGCCCCCCGCAGCGGGCACTGCCCCCGCAGGCGAGCAGGCCCAGGCCCCAGTCACACTTATGCCTGCGCCGGCAACGGGAGGGTGGGAGGGGCTTGGGCGGAGGCCTCGAAGCAGGTGATGTCTCAGGAGGCAGCCGGGGGAGGGCGCTGTCTTGGGGTAGTCGGGCTGCGTCCCGGGCTGTGGGGAGGGTATGCTGGCAGAGGGGGGGCGATGGCCCACCAGCAGGACGTTAGGGACGCAGGGTCCAGAGTGGCCTTGGGGGAGGGGCGTGGGGGCTGGGCGGGCCCTGAGGGAGGGGCGTGTGACGGGCAGCCGGAACGCGGGGACGTTGGGCCGCCCGGGCTGCAGCTTGCTGGGGGGCTGCTGTGTCTGCTGGCGAGACCTGGGCTCCTCGCTGCACGTGCAGGTCGCTTTGTGGGGGACAGACAGGCGGGTGCCGGCCGCCTCGCCCCGGGGCGGGTGCAGGCAGCTCACTGCTGCTTCTCCACAGAGACGGGGGCCCCTGCCCTGCTGCCCTACCAGTTCCACATGGAGGAGATCGAGGGCTTCCGCTACCGCTGCCGCGTGAGTGGGCCGGGAGGGAGCCGTGGGTTCCTGGGGGTGGGGTACCCTGGCAACCCCAGGGTCCTGACCCCCAGTGTCCACCCAGGACGCTATGCGCTCGGTGACTAAACAAGCCATCCGAGAGGCGAGGTTGAAGGAGATCAAGGAGGAGCTTCTGCACTCGGAGAGGCTGAAGGTGAGGGGCGGCAGGGCGGGCGGCAGGTGGCCCAGGGGCCCAGCCTCAGCGGCAGGCGTGACGCGGGCAGCCTTCTGTCTGGCTGGGAGGCGGCGGTGGAGGGCGGCCGTCCCGTGTGACGCAGCGACAGTCTGTGCACGTGCCGGAGCTCATTGCGGTGCTGGGGGTCCCGAGTGCCCTCCCCCGGCCCGTACGGATGCGCCGAGCAAAGCGGGGAGCATCGTGTGGAGGGAGGGACGAGGTGCTGTTTGTGTGTCAGTGAGGGGACCGTCGGGGGTGGCACCGGGCGACGAGGCTGTGCCGTGCTGTGTGCTGCCCAGTGCCTCACGGAAGGGCAGCAGGTGTGATGGGAGGGGAGACCCCCTCAGCCGCGGCGTCCGGGAGGGGACCAGGTGACGGCACAGGCGGGGGAAACCTCCGCTTTGTAAACTCGACACACGAGTTACCGGCTCAGAAGCCCTGTGAAATCACACAGGGAGACACCCTGCCGTGCTCTGTCTCTCCCCCGTCAGACGTATTTTGAAGACAACCCCAGGGACCTCCAGCTGCTGCGGCATGACCTGCCCCTGCACCCCGCTGTGGTGAAGCCTCACCTGGGCCACGTCCCCGACTACCTGGGTGAGCAGGGCCTGGGCGGGCCCTGGGCAGGCGGGGGGTGCCGCGCGTCCTCGATGCGTGCGCTGGGCTGACAGGGCCTCGGAGACCGGCAGCAGCGCGTGCACAGACGCGCCGGTACGCTCCCCGCACTGCCCCGCTGCGCGCAGCTCTGCTGTGGGGACAGGCGGCACAGGGGACACGGGGAGAGCCCGTCTGTGTCACACAGGGGCAACGTCGCCTGCCAGCAGCGTGTGGCTGGCGGGCCAGGGCGTCAGGGCTCAGCTCAGAGGCCCCCGCCCACGTGGCCTGGCCGGCGGAGGCCGGGGCAGGGGCCCAGCGTCCCTGCTGCGGGTCGGCAGGGCCCGCTGACAGGGGAGGGGAGGGCGTGTGGGGAGAGGCTCCCGATTGGGGAGGGACTTGCAGCAACATGGCACACGTGGAAAGATCGCAGGGGTTTTTTTCTATTTTAGCAGCATTTTCTTTTTAAGAGATGTCTTCTTTTTTGTTTCTGTTACATGATTATTGCAACAGACTCTGTGGTGACAAATAGCGTCGTGGGCACTTGAACGTGGGACTGGAGTGTGGCCCTGGGTCCGGAAAGGAGAGAGGGCATGTGGGTGGGGAGTGACCGGCCTAGGGCTGGGCGGCGGCGGCTGAGGCCCGTTGTCTCTTCCAGTGCCTCCTGCTCTGCGCGGTCTGGTGAACCCTCACAAGAAGCGGAGGAAGGTGCCCTCCAAGAAGGTCAAGGTATGTCCCCTCCTCCCCCTGGCTCCTCGTCAGCACGGTGTGCGTGCCCGTGGAGGAGAGCGGCCCCAACAACCGGCCCAGAACTCCTGGTCCCCAGGTGGAAGTCACGGGGGCTGGGACTCACTCAGCCCCCCGCGTGTGCCTCCGGCAGCAAAGGAAGACCGGCTTTCTGTGCCCCTCCTCCAGGGTGCAGGCGGGAGGTGGGCTACAGCAGACTCGGTCCTGGGCTCCTGGGCCGCAGGGCCCTGCAGTGGCGGCACCAGCCACCTCTCAGGGCCTGTCTCGGTTTGGGCGTTCAGACACCCGATTCCCCCAGCTGACCTATGCCCTCACCCCACAGAAGGCAAAGGCCCAGAACCCACTGCGCAGCTTCAAGCACAGAGGAGAGAAGCGCAGGCCCCCGACGCGGCCCTCCTGAGTGCGTCCAGGCCGCCTGCGCGTCCTCCCGGCCCCGGGGCCGAGCTCCGCGGGGAGCGGGCTCCCCACGGACAGACGGGGTCCTTGCCCTGGACGATGCCCTGGGTTCCGGGCAGGCAGACTGGCCTCCAGGCCCGTGACGCTGCCAGGCTGGCGTTTGTGCCTTAAAGACAATAAAGATCGTAGCTGCCTCGGTTTGGGCCTCCCCCCGGCCCGGGGTGGGAAGGGGCCGCCCCCAGAACTTGCGTCTGGGAGGCAGTGCTGGGCTTCCTGCCTGCTGAGTGCACCCTGTCGGCCAGCAGGGGTCAGCGGTGTAGCGCCGCAGCCTGGGGCCTTCCCGCCCTGGGAGAGGCCCTGTCCAGGTCTCTGTCCAGCCCGCACCTGCTCCTGTGGCCGTTCTGTTTGCTGTCACGCGGACCAGCCTGTAGCCTCTGAAGCTCAGAAATGGCACATCAGCCACAGGGAAGACGGCCTTCCTCACCCTGAGCCTGCTGCCTCCCTGCAGGGCCGCCTGCGGGGGACCCAGCCCTCCGCCCCCTCCGCCCCCAGCGACGCCCTGTGCGGAGCCCCAGCACTGCGGCGCCCCGGCACTGCTCCGCCCCTCGGCAGCCCTGCGTGTGCTCCGTGTGCGGGGTGCTCGGGAGGTGGGCTCACGCCGTTGTCCCTTTGCACATGGCCCGGACAGGAGAGGGTTTGCCCAAGGCTGGCCTCGCAGCTCCTGCCGTCCTCAGGAGGGCCTGCTGGCCGCCCCTGACGGCGCTCCTGACCCCTGGGTCACCAGCACCTGCTTGTCAGGCCGCACAGGCCCGGCTGTGGAGGGAGAGGGGCTGGGGCTGGGGCGCTGGGAAACCGCCAGGGGACAAGCCCGGTCGGTCGGCTGAGCGTTTGAAACGCGGCTGCGGTATCAGCAGGAGCGGGGAGGGGGGCGAGGGCTGGGGGCTCGGCTATCGCTGGGTGGGCAGGCACCTCAGGTTTGGAGCCTCAGCCCCTCCTCCTCTTCTGTTTGGAGGATTTTTAGGGACCAGGCTGGGGGGGGCTCGGCTCAGGTGGGATCATCTGCATGTGGCTGCAGCCAGTGTGTGCACCAGGCTCCTACATCCCTGCGGCTCAGGTGCGCTCAGAGCAGCAGGTGATGCGGTAAACACACAGCAGCTTTGCAGCATCTGCTGGTCCCCTGGGGGTGACCCTTGCGGTGACCCCCTGGCAGCACGGAAGGAGGTGGGCTCAGACCTCCCCCTGCTTTAAGGCGGGCGAGCGGTTGAGGCCTGGCCCTGGGGGCGAGCCTTTTCTGACCGGTGAGCCCGGCTCCCCCTGCACCTGCTCCTCTGACCCGCCCCTCGCTGCACCTCCTGCTGGTGGCTTGCGTCCCAGCCCCGGTGCGGATCCAGGAGACAGGCCCCTCGGGCTCCTGCGGTGACCGCCCCTCTAGAAGGGGACTCTGCTTCGGGCTCTGCCTCCACCCACGCTCGGTGCAGGCCTGGCGGCCAAGCTCCACAGTGCACTGCAGGCCACTGTGTGCCGAGCCTGGTACCCGCGTCCCGTGGGAGCCAAGGCGCAGGAGCGGGCTCCTGGCGGAGGGTCCCAGCATGGGGAGGCTGGGCAGGGCCTGGGTGGTTGTGTGCCCTTGCTCGGGCACCTGGGCTGGCCCGCCATCACCCCAAACACTGCTGTTGCTCTTCCAACTGTGGGCAGGTGCTATCCCAGCCCTTTGGGAGCTGAGCCGTGCCTGGTCACACTCCCTGAGCCAGAGTGGGCCCTGGCACCAGAGGGGTCTGGACTGGCCAGGGCTCTGGGGGCCCAGGCATCTCCTCCCGGCCCTGCACAGCATTGTTTACACAGGAGGAAACGGAGGCTGAAAGGGGCCTGGGCCTGGGAGGCGGGGGGGCAGAGCCAGCCCGCCCTCACTCGGCTGACTGAGCCGCAGGTAGGCAGCGATCGCCAGGGCGGCGCACTGCGATGGGGTCAGTGGGGCTCAGGAGCATTACCACCCCGCGGGTGCTGTCACGTCCACGCCCGAATGGGTTCGCCGTGCCAGGGACTAGAGAGCGGCGGCAGGCACAGCCTTTGCGTGGGAGGAGCTTCGGGGGATGGAGAATCAGCCCTTCAACGTGCCACGAAGCACCCATCTGCTGCGGCACCTGTTGGGGTCAGCCAGGAGCAGGTGCTGAGCAAGGACCAGCGCGAGAATGGCAGAGCCGGGCAGGCACCCTTTGGGACGCCCAGGGTGTCCCGAGGGTTGCGCAGGGGAGGGGCCTGGGGAGCTGCCTGAGGGGCGGCTGGGCCTGGGCGAGTGGGCAGGGACCAGCGCCGGCGCAGCCCTGCGCGTCTGCGGGCGGAAAGAGGAAGGGGCTGCAGGCGGGCCAAGGCCGAGAGTCTGGCTGCATTTGCGAGCGGGCGCAGCTGACTCCTAGGCGGGGAGCGCCCTGATCAGGCGGCCTCGGGCCGCAGTGATAACGGGGTAGCAGAGTGTCCCTGGGAACCTCTGGACCCGGAGTGCGGGCAGGTGCCACTGCGTCTCCCAGTCCAGCGAACTTTCCGTCTGCGGAGGATCAGTGACTCAGCTTTTGGGGAACTGGTTGGTCTTGGGACTTTGGTCTCCAGGGGCAGTGTTCCCAGGAGGAAGTAGCCAAGGGCCCGGAGCCATGCACACAGGTGCCCCCGCCGGATGCCCTCTTTTCCCAGGAAGAGCATGCGGGCAGCCTGCCTCGGGGCGGGGCGCTGGAGCTGGTCGCCCCGCGGTGGACGCAGCCATTTTTACACGGAAAAGAAAGAAGCTGTTGGTTGGGAGGAAAAGGTGCCCAGGCCCAGTGTCCTTCCCACCATGCAAGGGGCCGTGCGGAGCAGACCCCTCCCCCCAGGGTGGCACCCGCGGGCCCACCGGGCAGCAGGGAGAGCGCACGGCCACGGCCAAGCCACGTGACAGGCGTGCAGGGGCCCGCAGTCCTGCTCAAGAGCGGCCTCTGGCGCCCACGGTGTGCTGCCCGGCCCCAGGGAGGGGCCTTGCGCTTGGTCTGTCCCGGGGTCTCCTGTGTAGGAGGAGCGAAGTGCCCCCTTGAGTGTGTCCGGTGGGGGTGCCCCCGGCACCAGCTCTGCACACAGGCCTCTGACTCCCTGCACCTTCTCAGAACAGGTGCCCCCGGCCGGGCTGCGCAGGGTCTGAGCCCACATTCCTAGCAGCCTCCTGCCCGGGAGGCCGATGCTACTGGGCCCAGGTCACCCTTCAAGAGCGGAGCTGTGGCGCCCACAAGCCCATCCCGTTTTACAGGTGGGAAAAGAGGCCCAGAGGGAGGAAGTGCCACCCCACGCCCTCTGGCTTGGGCAGAGTGGGAGGGTGGTTGGGTCTGCAGGCCCTGACCCGGAACCTGAGTGAGGCTGGGCTCAGCCCGACCTGTCCCTTCAGCCTCAGCTTCGCCCTGAGGTGCTGCGATGGGCGGCGTGACTCGAGCCTCCGTGTGTCCTGGTCCGTCTTTGTGGTAACACTCGACGATGCTGTGTTTGGAGCTCAGATCTGGCTGGTGCCCTGGGGGGTGCTTGCTCACCCGGCCGCCCTGGAGTGCGGAGCCCACTCGCCCGGGCGCTGCTTCCCCGGGAACCTCCCCGGCCCCCTGTGTGGGCCGGGTGCCCTCTCTTCTGAGTGTAAATCGGGGTTAGTTTCGGTCAATTTCAACACAGCACAGTAGCACCTGCTTATCCCTCACTCCGGCCCAGCGGCGCAAGGCTGTGCACGTGGTCCTGGGGCAGCTTGCACACAGCGTGTGGGGGCTGGGGATGGGGGGCAGCAGGGCCCCCCTCACATCATGGGTCTGTGCTCTGACGGCGGATGGCTGCTTCTGGCCTCAGAGTGCAAAGAGGGGGCGACCATTGCTGCACCTCCCCCCTTGTTGCAAGACCTTCTCCTTTAGGCTCAAGTGACTTCCGGGGAATGAAAAGGACCAGTGACCTTTTACTCCCTCCTTCATTTTCCCTTTTCCCCCTTTCAGAAGCCAGACATTAAAAACTAGGGGATTCAGGGACAGCCGTGCACACGGGGGAGGTCAGAGGGTGCGCGCGCCCAGGGAGCAGCGCAGGGACGCCCCGCGGAGGCCTCAGCCTTGCACTTCAGGCTGATGGCGGCTCAGAGGCACCTGCAACAGCTTTGAAAAAAATAAACAAAACCCGTAAGAAACTCCGGGGAAAGGGAATAATCTGATTCCCAGATTCATTAGATTCAAATGTTCAGGTTTCAACAACAGCAAAAAACCACAAGGTCTACAAAGAAATAGGAAAGTATGGCTTACGCAAAGGAAAACATAAGCCAACAACCTGTCTCTGAAAAAGACCTAGTGGCCAGTACGCTAGGCAAAACCTTTAAACCAACCATCTTAAATACGCTCACAGAGCTGAAGGAAAATGTGGAGAAGGTCAAGAAAATGTGTGGAAATTTTGAATGAAAAAAAAACACCTAGTAGAAATTTCAAGAAAAGAACAAAAAGAAACTCTAGAGCCAAAAGTACAATAACTGCAGTGGAAAGCTCACGAGGAATTGGGAGGCAGGTTTGCGCAGGCGCAAGAAAGAATCAGTGACCTGGAAGGCCGAGCAGCGGCGATGGTGGAGCCTAAGGAAGCGGCGGAGAAGAGCGAAGAAAGCTGGAGCGTCCAGGGCCTGCGGACACGGCGAGCTGCCGCACGCACCGCGGAGTGTGGAAGGGGCACGTCCAGCCGAGGGAGTTGCCTGCATGGAGGGCTCATCTGCATGTCCCCGCCTGACCAGCACGCTGGCCGGCGAGGGAGGTGGCACGCCACCAGCAGACGGCGGGTGTTGTTATCCATGTACGGCGCTTCCTTGAGGGTCCTGAGGAATGGGCTTGAGTAACTAAGAAACGATGTCAGGCATGCGTGTCCCCGCGGTCTTGCTAAACATCAGGTCGTTTGGCGGCCAGGGGGTTCTCAAATCAGCTTGCGTCCTTTGCATTCTTTAATCCGCTAATAAATAACATGCTTTCCTCGGCTCGGGGCTCAGTCGGTCACGTTTGCTAAGTCCCCTGCTGCTCATCGCATTCCGTCTCCTGCCTCTTTAATTTGTTGCGGCACCGGGAACGCGACAGGTAAGTTTAATGCTTTGTGTGTTTTGTCCCCCCCACACACAGTGTGCACACAAAGACAGGGTTAGTCAGGGGTTTGGGGAGGAGGGACGCAGAGGGGGAGCAGGGGGAATTTGGGGGCAGAGCAACTCTTTCGAGTGATATGACAATGGTGGATCCATGTCGTTCCCTATTTGTCAAATCCTGTAGAACGGACACCGCCATTCGAGAGAGCGAGCACCACTGTAAATGATTAACGCCAGTGAGTAATGTGTTACTATTGGCGCATCGATTGCAACAAATGCGCCAAGATGTGTC